CCCTGTGACAACCAGAAACGCCCCTGCCCGCCCCTGGGTGAGCAGGACCTTCCCCAGGTGAGAACCGCTTCTTCCCACCTCAGGGCTCCTCTCTGACAGTGGTGTCTGCTTCTGCTTATCCCTCCTTGGCGTCCGCCCCTTCCCCGGTCTCTTCTCACTGGCACAGGGGCTCCCCAGGCCCAGTTCCTGCACGAATCCTCATCCGTGTGCTGTTGAGCCTGGGGGCTGGCACGCACGAGGTGCTAGAACACGGTCCCTTGCTGGGGGGCCGCATGGACCAGCTGCCCCACGCCAGGTAGCACTGGGAAGGACACGGTGATTAACTTCGAATGTCATGTATACCTGTGGCTCAGGTGTCCCGGGGGCAGTTAATGGAAAGGGGGGGCAGTGCCCTTGGAGGGGCATCAGGTTGCTCCCTGGCTGGAGGCCTGGGTGGACATGTCCTCTGGGAGACTTGGCGAGGGGGAGGGAATTGGGTGCTTTGCCTGACCGACGGCAGGCGGAGGCCCAGGGAGGCGGGACTGTGGGGGAGTGGGCCAGGCAGCCTGCATTTCACCAACCAGCCTCTTCCTCTCGGGGCCCTGATTGAGGGAATAAGGAGAGGAAGAGGATGGGCAGGTTGTGTAGTGGGGCACGCCCGAGGCCAAGACAACTGGCTGAGGACCCAGCAACGATTCTGTAGTCACAATGATTCCTCATTTTGTTAATCATTTTACAAAAAGACTTCATAGCATCAGCATCCCCATTTGACAAATGTGGGTATTGAGACTTAGAGAAACTGAGGCAGAAATTCACCCGCCCCAGGAAGGGGAGAGGGCACAGCCTGGGGCTGTAGTGATCAGTGGTTGCTCCAGAGCCCGGGTGAGAAGGTCGAGGCCTTGCTCCCTGGTGCCTGTAGCTCTGGGCCTATGGACAGGAGGGTGGGATGGGCCCAGGGTGAAGAGGAGACAGAGGTTCCGAGTGGCCCCTCAGGATGGTGTCTGCTCAGCTAAATGCCAGCCGCAAAGGGAACAGTCTGACATAGGCCCTTCCAAGTCCAAACCCAGCCAGACGTCAGCGCTAGGGCCTGGGAAGGAGGGGTGAGCTGTGATGGGGGATCACATCAGAGCTTCTGCTTTGGGCCAAGATGGTGCCAAGATGGCGACTTGAGGCTGTTGGCTCTTGCCCCAAAGTCAACCTGGAGAAACTGTAGAAGCAAATATGGGTTCCAGGAAACAGCAAACAAATCGGTAAACAAATCAGGGAGACCGAGGGCTGTTTGACTGTGTGGGGTGGATGGAGGCTGACCCTGGGCCGGGGGTGAATGGGAGCGGCAGTGGGAGAACAGGTCAGAGGAAATCTGTGTACCTTCTGCCCTAACCTCTCCCCGGCACGGCCTCGGGCGCTCCTTGCTTGCTCCTTAACTGATAAAGTGGGGGTAACAGCCTTGTTGGGAGGGAACTGAGGAAAACAGGTGTGGACAGACCAGCTGCTCACACCTTCTCTCTGTGAACCCCACAGCCAGTTTGTTAAAAAAGCTAGACTGCCTTCTGTCAACCATGTTTCTCCCTAAAGGCTCAGAGATGAGGCCCCGACTCTCTCTGGTGACTGGGGCCCTTCTGGTGCCCATCCCACCCATCAGCCCTAGAAACAGACACAGCCTTTGAAGACTTGTGACCAACAGAGCCGCTGACACCAGAGGGAAGGGAACAGGCAAGTAAAGAGCCACTTGGAGAGGCCCCTCCTCCAAAGGAGACAACACGCCGAACAGATGTACCAGCTGGAGCAGGGTCATGAGAACCAATGGACCATAGAGAAATATATTAGCAATGAAACCAGGACAAGGGATCACAAAGAAGAACAAGTTAGTAAACTTGGAAGATCAATTTGAAGAACTCCCTCAGAAGACAGCAGGAAAAGTTAGATAGACCAAAAAACATACAAGCTAAGAAATCATAGCTAGAAATAGAAGTACTGACATCTGATAATAGGGGCTGGCCAAGGAGAGAATTATATAAAAACTGAGTGGAAGGAATATTTGAAAAAAATAATGGAGATAGAATTTTCTATAATAAACGAAGGATAAAAGGCCTTCAATTAAAAGGGCTCAAAGATAGTGCAAAACAGGAAAGATAAGGAAATGTAAAATCAGAAGCATTATAATAAAATCTAAGAATACCAAAGATAAAGGGATTACTATTTTTTTCCCCAGAGAGAAAGAAAATGTCATCCATAAGGTTACAAGAATCAGACGGCCATCAGCTTCTCAATAGCAACATGGAATGATATTTTTGAGGTTGTGAAAGAACTCTGAACCCAGAGTTTTATATCTAGTGAAACTCATTCAAATTGGAAGAAATAAGAAAAAAATATTCTCAGAGTTTTAAAGCTTTAAGTATGTTACACAAAGACCCAAACTAAAAATGCTTTTGGAGGAAGTACTCGAATAAGAAGAAAAACAAGTCCCAGGGGAAATAGTATAATTTATTTAAGCTATCAATAGGGATACATAATCATAAGCAAGGGTAACTATCTTGAAAACAAAAATAGAATGCATAACTTTTCAAACTAACAGAAGAAAACGTGATTTATTCAATGGAAAGCTGGAAAGGAGAAAACAAGCAAACAAAAGTAGAGTAAGTAAAAAATATAAAATAAGATGGTGGTAGAAATAAGCCTTATAATAATTACAACCACAATCGATGTAAATGGATGAAACTAAACAATTAAAACACAAAGACTCATATTGGGTATGAAAATAAGGTCTAGTAATACATGCCCCAAGAAGACACACTTGTATTTAAAAACACAGAAATATTAAAAATAAAAGATGACAAAAATATGACAAGAAAATAAAAGTGTTGAAAAGATATACCAGGCAAATGAACCAAAGTAAGTTGAGATAGCAATCCTAGTCGTGGATAAAATGGAAATTAATGTAAAACACATCCCAAGAGACAAAAAGGGATGTTAAATAACGGTAAAAGGAAAAATAGACAAGAAGATCCAGCCACTGTGAGCATATAAGCAACCAGTAGGAGTCTCAAAATGCATCAAGCAACGACTGATGGAACTGCAGAGGGAAATATATAAATCAACAACTCCAATAGGAGGTTCTATCACAGTCAATTTTGAAAATGATAGACCAAGCAGAGAAAAACAAGCAGAAAATAGAATAACCTAGCTGGTAAGCTTGCGCTTGTATAACATAACATGTGCTTCAGCTTATGTTGCACTATACTATAGAGGACCCTACACTTAACACATTCCGTTTAAGCTGAGGAAGCAGTTATGACCATGAATTAGGTCATAACAGAAGTCTCAATAAATTCCATAGAATTAATAGCATAGAACTATGTGCTTGGATAGTAATGCAATAAAACTAGAAATGAATTAAATAAAGAGCTAAAACATCACATGTATTTGGAAACTAAAGAAAATTATATAACTCTTGGGGGTAAAAGAAAATCGTAAGGGAGGGTGGGGTAGGAAAGGCCAATGAGGGAAAAAGGGGACATATATAATACTTTCAACAATAAAGATTAAAAACAAACAAAAAGAAAGAAAGAAAATCATGGGGGAATGTAAGAAATATTTAAATCTAATAATAATGAAAGCACTACCTCCTGGGGGAGTGTGTAAGTGAAACGTGTAGGGCAGCAGCGGTTCTCAACCTGTGGGTTGCAACCCCTTTGGGGGTGGAACGACCCTTTCACAGGGGTCGCCTAAGACCATCGGAAAACACATATATAATTACATATTGTTTTTGTGATTTATCACTATGCTTTCATTATGTCCAATTTGTAACAATGGAAATACATCCTGCATATCAGATATTTACATGACGATTCATAACAGTAGCAAAATGACAGTTATGAAGTAGCAACGGGAATAATTTTATGGTTGGGGGTCACCACAACATGAGGAACTGTATTAAAGGGTCGCGGCATTGGGAAGGTTGAGAACCACTGGTGTAGGGTGACCAACCCATCCTGGTTTGACCAGGGCTGTTCCACTTTGGGCTCTGAAAGTCTGTGTCCCAGGCAGACCAGGGTGGAGCTCGCCCTCACGTGTGTGGGTGTGTCCCGTGGAGCGCTGTGCGGCAGGGAGAAGCAACAGGTTGGGACAGCCAGAAGGATGGAATTAACTATGGTGCTCAGTGAAACACAATGAAATATATTTCAGTCAACATAAATTACATGCGCACAAGACAATGATAATCTTGTAAGAGCATCCAGGAGACCAAGAGATGCACGTTAAACACATTAGAATGGTTGTATATGGAGGGAAGGAGTGTGGGACTAAAAGAGAATGCACGCATACACACATGCATGAAAACAAGAGTGGGCCGTGGAGGGACCAATGAGACAAGGGGCCATACTCTAGGGCAGCGGTTCTCAACCTGTGGGTCGCGACCCCTTTGGCACAGTAGCAACATTACAGTTATGAAGTAGCAACGAAAATAATGTTATGGTTGGGTCACAACATGAGGAACTGTAGTTAAAGGGCCAGAAGGTCGAGAACCACTGCTCTAGGGGAAACCGTAACCCTCTGAGCTTGAGGTTCAAAAGGGAAAAAAAATGCTTTCCTGGGAGACAGTGGGAAGGGCACCCCTGCTCCTAGAGAGAACGGGGTGAGGTTTCTGTGAGACTGTCTTTGTTGGAAGGCGGGTGGGTTAGCCTGGGCCCTCCACAAACCCAGGGAACGGGGTGCGGGGGTGGGGGGGAGTGACAGAGGGGGGTGTCGGGAGAGGGAAGCCCCTCCCCCAGGCCTGCTGGGCCCCGAGCTGGGGCTCACTCTGAGGCCTTCAGCACCAGTGGGCCTTTTCCAGAGAGAAGGAGAGGCCCTGCCGGGCAGCAGGCGGGGCTCAGCGGCCCTGCATGGGGCTCTCCTGGGCATCAGTGCCTGAAGCAAACCGGCCTCCCAGGATGTGTGGCCAGGGCACCCCCAGGAGGCAGGGAGGAGCTGTTCCCCTCTGGGCACAGGGCGCGGGGCTTGAGCTGCCCCTGCGAGAATCCTACCTCGTCGAAGTCAGCCACATCCTCGCAGTTCTCCAGGACCCGGGAGTGGAAGGACTGCCCTGGGTGGGAAAGAGGAGAGTTTAGAGTCAGACCTCCCTGCACAAGAAGCTTGGGGTTGGACCTCTGGACCTGCAAGTCGTCATGACAACATTGGGGAGCACTCGTTATCAACAGTGGGACCTCACTTCTGTGCGGCGCTCTCCCGGGCGGGGCAGTTTCCACAGGGCCTGCCTGACCTCAGCAACCTCGCTGGCCTTTAGCTGCGTTTTACGAACCGGGACACTCAGTTCAAGAAGGCACAGGCTGGTGAGACGTGTGCATCTGAGTGAATGAGGAAGAGGCTTTATTATAAAGCAGAAGCTACAGGCACAGGGAATAGAAGTAAAGCAGACAGATGGGAGAGAAAGCCTCTTTAGCACTAGCCGGGGACAAAACAAAACACCGAAAAAGAAAAACCTCAACAACACGCCGCCAGGCAGCCGGGGGAGGAGAGGGAAGCAGGCGAGGCCTGAGTGTGGGTTATTTTTCCCACGGACAATAGGCAATGTACACTGAGAATCAGGGGAGCACCTCTGTGCGCTGGGCGTTCCCCAGGACCTGCCCTCTGATAACCAAAGGCCTCTCATCCTAGGTTCTAGGAGGTCATAATGAGCTTTGGATGTGGCTCAGCTCAAGCGTCTCCCGGAATGAAAATGAAGCAAGTCAGTGAGTGGGGGCCGGGGGCTGTCTGAGACTGAGCCAGGGTTCCAGCCTAAAGCCTGCCCTGCTCGCGCGTTTCCAATAGCCTGTGAGAGAGGACGCGGAACGCAGTAAAATTAGCCATTGCAGAACTTACGCACGAGGGCTGTTTCAGAACGCAATAAAACCTCATTGCCGCAAGCCCTGGAGATTTTAAATGTGGTGAATATTGTCAAACAGACTGAGTTAAATTTTACCTCTAGATATATTTTTTTTAAAGAAAGGATTTGCTGAAACAAATCAAACCAATCATACAGAAACAGCGGGAAGGCCAATTTACTAAGAAAGCAGGATGCCTGGGGCATTTGCGGAAAGCCGCCTTTGGGGGGGTTGGTATAAACAGTGGTGGGGATCATTCCAGGGGTCCTTTCTAGTCACTGGGACAGAGCCAGGGTGACCTCTGCCCTTTCCCCCAGTTATCAGGGGGGGATTGCTAACCCCACCTTTCTTTACAAATGCACTTCCACTTAGCATCATCCACTGCACTCCACACCATCCTGTTGAAATTCAGCTCCATTTTAAATGGCTTTGAGACAAAATGCTTTAAAATCCCAATATCCAATTACCTTTCTTGCCACAGAGAAGATTGGGAAGAAGGCTTGAGAGAAAGAAAATCGCCTGCTCTCCGCGGTGGGGAGGCTTTGGTGGGCAGAGTAAGACCATTAGATGGGAAATTAAACAGCGTCCTCCTTCCTGCAGAGGCAGCTGCTTGTGGGGTAGCTGAGCCGCTCAGTTTGAAATCAACTCCCGAGTCAATACATGAATTTGGACAGTGGACACTGTGCTCACAGCTGTAAGTCCAAATGGAGGGGCTCAGGAGTCCAAAGAGTAACAGACGTTACTTGTACGTCATTGGCCATTTTCAAATACCTGGACTGCAGCCCCCTCCGAGATGCAGGTGAGCTCAGCTCTTGTCTCCTGTGCAGGATGGAAGACTAGCCTTTCATGGGGCGTGACTAAGGGGACAAAACATCCCGCCTGCACCAAACAGCTCCCTCTTGCAGACAGTTTACCTTGCTAGAGCCGGACCTGGAGCAAAAGCAAGCATGTAGGGACTGGGCTATTCGCCTATGCACATTCATTCACTCATTCATCCATTCCCTCCCGCCTACTCCTGCTGTGTCAGCACAGCCATGGGCCCTGGAGGAGGGTGGGGCGGGCTGCACAATGAGTTGGAATGGGATGCTGCCTGAAGGAGCCTATTACAATCCAGAAAAGGGTAGGTCAGACATATAAACGGCTGCTTACTAGCTGAGGCAACATGTGGTGCTTGGCATGCAAAGGGTGTAAATAAAGCGACAGCACAGGAAAAGGAGAGCTGGCCTCCACCTCCAGATCAAAAAGGTGTTGGAGAGGCAGGGGCTTTACACGGGAAGGTCGATGGATCAGCTCTGCAGGGAGATGGGGAGGAGGGAGAGAGAAGGGACATCTGATGGAGAGCACAGTGTGAGCACAGTGTGGAAGTGTGGAGCAGAGAATGTGCTCAGGGCAGCGGAGTGGGACACAGGACAGGTGAGTTCTGATGGCAGAGGTCAAACGAGAAGGGTCTCCCCTCAGGGTCCACAGAAAGAAGACCCTGGGGCTGGGGGGCCCGGGTCCTGAGAGAGCACAGGTTGTGGTGCATCCAAAGGGGAAGGTTCTGAGGACACGCTGCAGGGACATCATGGTTCTACGCAGGACCTGGCGCTGTGGCCTCTATCAGCGCGTTACTCTCTTCCCAGTGTGAGCTGGATAGAGAGCCAAGCACCCTGCCTGTCACTCAGACTTGTCACTGTTATTCCCTTTTGTTATTTAAAATCAGCAAAACCTCATTCTCAGCACCGGCTAAATGGAGAGTCCTTCATTAAGCGCCCCCTTCCTGGCTGCAGTGCTGCAACGTCTCCCAATCAGCGGCCTCTGCTCCTCCAGCAGCTCAGGAGAGGGGGCCCTGCTGTGATCTCCTCGCCAGCTACTCCCACCAGCGCCAGGAAGCAGGGCCCCGGCATCCCCGTGTGCAGAAAAAGAGCCAGGGCCTAGGCAGGCTTGGGGCCCTGTGTGCAGAAAAAGAGCCAGGGCCTAGGCAGGCTTGGGGCCGGGGGCCGCAGCTCAGGGCGGAAGGAAGCAGGGAGGGGGCTGGCTATTCAACCCCCCAGGGTCATCGTCCGTAAACTGAGACAGTTATCCTGGACCAGCCTGCATCCTGGAACCACAGTGAGGACCAGCAAGAGGCTGCTTCTGTGAGAGTCCGAGTAAAGCATCCCTTACAAGCACCGGGCCTTTGGGCACTGGGAAGGCTCAATGGCCAGCCTGCCTGAGTTCAAACCCCAGCTCCGCCACGTGCTGGCCATGAGCCCCGGGAGAAGTTAGCCTGGCTTTGCCTTTGTTGCCTCATCTATAAGCGGAGGAGATGCCAGTGCTCATGCACCTGGCGCGTTGTTCATCACCCGATTCTACTAATGAGTCCTTTAGATAGTCACCTATGTTTTAAATATAAAAATGGTCTCCTCTATTATAAATCACTTTTTGTAGAGTATTTTTAGCAGTATATAATCAGGAACAATCTTCTTCCTCGTCTTACATAATATTTTTCAAGTTTTAGTTATTTTAGGTGTGACTAGCTCTTTTTTAGCTAGATAAAATTTATGTTCACTGCTCTTAAGTGCACAATCTGATGAATTTCAATAAATGCATATTCACTACACACTCAAGCTACAGTTTTTTTGTCAATCAAATCGAATAGTCTGACTAATCTAACTTTCTTCTCCATTTTCAAATTGCTTTGGCTCTCCTAGGTTCTTTGGGTGTCCATATAAATATTAAAGTAATTTTCAATTTCTACAAAATAGCCTGATGTGACTTTTATTGGGATGGTGTTCAGCCTGTAGATCAATGTGCGCAGATCTGACATTTGAACGTGCTGAGTCTTCCAACCCATCAATATCGTATGTGTTCTATGCATTTGGGTTTCTTTTATTTCCCTCAGCATTTTTTTTCTTTTAGGGTGAAGGCCTTTCGTGTCTTTAGTAAAATTTATTTCTAAATGTCTGCTGCTTTCTATGCTATTATAAAAGTAATTGCTTTGTAATTTCTGTTTTCCAACTGGTTGGTTTCTATAGAAATATAGTTTTTGTATATTATGCTTAGATCCTAAAACCTTGCTAAATCCACTCACGAACTATGGTAACTTTTGTGTAGAATCCTTAGAATTTTCTAATAACCCATTAGTTTTTGTGTGTGCATGTGTGAAAAGGAGCCATTTTAGTCCTTGCTTTCCCATCTGGGTTTTTTCCTCCTGCCTTGTGGCTAGAATTCTGGTACAAAGTTAAGCAGAAGTAGTGAGAGTGGACAACCTGCCTTGCTCATGATCCTAATGTTCAATATTTCAGGATTAAGTATGTTATTATTTGGATGTTTCTGTAGTTTCCTTTGTAAGATTGAGGAAGTTCTCTGTTCTTAATTTTCTGAGAGCTCTTATCATGAATAGGTGTTGGGTTTTGTCAAATACCTTATCTGTGTCTATTGGTGTGTGTTTTTTCTTGTATTGTGCTATTCTTGTAAACTCACCTGGCATTCCTCAGGATAAAACTCACTTGTCATGCTCCTGGCTCCATCGGTGGCCTCACTGACCACCCAAGTAACCTGGTACAAAACTCAGAGCGCCCATATCCTGTCCTCTCGCTCACTTCCAACCCCAGAGCTGCTACTCCCTTTCTGAACCCACGTCACCCCTTCTCTCCAAACCCACAGCCTTGCCCACCGAGGCACAGCTCTCTGCCTGAGCCACTGCCCAGCTTCCTCCTTGGGCTCTGGCCTGCAGTCCTGACCTCCCGAATGTTCTTTCTGAAACCATATCTTTCTGTTCTCTTCTCTGGCTAAGAGCTTTGGGACTCCCGTTCACGTGCAAAGCCAAGTTCAAACTCCAGTGTGACCCTCTATGTTCGGACCCCAGGCTTCCTCCCACCCCATTCCCACCCCAACTGCAGCAAGCATTCCCTAAACCCCAAACAGGCCTCCTCACCTCTGCACTGATATGAACCTCTCTGCCTGGAGTGGGACTTCTAGGGGGTTTTGTCCCCCAAGAAGGAAATGCTGTCCTCTCTCAAGGGCCAGCTTTAACATCAGCCCCTCCCCCACGGTAAAACCTTCTCCCTGGGGCCCGTGAGCTTTGCCAGCTTCATCTGCTTGACCCCAGGGTGATCAACTTCGAGTGACCCGCCCTCACCTCCAGTCACAGGTGCTCCCCTGCCATCTCTTCCTAAGCACCCTTCTCACCCTCTCCGGTGGCTCCCAGACCTGGCTATGGGCTTCCCTGCTGCATGCTGCCTTGAACCTGTTCCTCCCT